ACCAAAAAAAAAAAAAAAAAAAGAAAGAAAAGAAAAGAAAAAAGAAAGTTAAGGCAGTTCAGTGTAGTAGATTAGGGATTACTGCAGGGGACAAATCTGGAAATATTAATTCTTCCTTTGGGACATGTTGTTTTCCAGATGTTCATAGAAGTCCTATAAGGTATTCTCCTAACTTACTTTGTAGCAGTAGAAAAATGCTAATGGAGCACTGAAACCTGTACAGCCATTTTAAGACAGAGGAGGGGAAAGAGGGAAAATAATGGAAGGGATATACTAAACTGGGGTACATTGTACACGTATATGGAAATATCACAAGGAAACCCCCTGTAAAACTATTATATACTAATAAAAATCTTTAAAAAAAGAAAAATGATTACATAGAGTAGATATGCAAAAGCATGTTGAATTTATTAAGCATAGTTACTCTAATAGTTAAATTCTGGAATTTTCTACTGACTATGTTGCTTCACTTGTTCTTTTGTTTCCAAAGTCATTAATTCAGTTTTTTTAGGCAGATGAATTTGTCTCAGGGCATCCTATAAGTGTTCTATTACTTGAGTCTCTAGATCCTAGGCCTGCCTTGAACTGCAATGCCTACCTCTGCCTCCCAAGTGGCTAGGATTACAGATATGCACCACCATGCTCAGCTTTACAAAGTTTTTCCAAACATCTTTTTTTTTTTTTTTTTTTACTTTTTGGCAGTGATGGGGCTCAAACTTTGGGCCTTATGCATGCCAGGCTACTGCTCTACCACTGAGCTAAACTGCCAAACCAAAGGGGTTTTTGTTTTTTGTGTTCATTATGTTTAGACAGTAAACTTCTGAAGTTTGAAGGTCAAATAAGTTTTTATTGTACTAAGATTAAATAATAAGGAGTAAAAGATTAAGATTAAATAATAATGGAAAATCATCTCTGCCAGAAAACTCAGCTCCCTTCTTTTAGTATTTCTATGGTGCCAGACTGAAAGATGCCTGTTGGTGTTAGTGCTGGGTCATGAAACCAAGTGGTTTTTGTTGACTGAGTCAAAAGCTGTAGTTATATTTGCCAAAATTGAAGATATTCTATATTTGTACAGCTCTTTAGGCTAATTAATAATCACACAGCAATTGCTTATGTATTTGCCTCTTCTGTAGCTAAGTTTGAGCTGATAGCATTATTGAATGCTTTCCAGACTTTTCTTGTTCACAGGAGAGATTTGCCACATAGGAAAGGCACCATCCTAAACCTCTCTTGGGCAAGAGCTACCTGGATCTTCTTTGTTGTCCTGAGTAATCCTGGACAAAATTCCATTCCCACCATAAAGAGAAACATCTGCCTTTATAACCCACAGAAACATTTTAGTCAAAATTGATGCACACCAGTTGGGAAATTGTTTATAGATTTGTGGTGACAACATATCTTTTGGTGATTTAACAGACAAAAGAGACACTCCAAAACCTTTCACCTCACCCTTGGCAGCAAGAGCTCACTGAAGCAGGTTTGTTATGTCTGTGGTAGACTTCTGACCACAAAGCAAAGAAGAAACATCAAGGCCTTGCAGTTGTGATTATACCAAGTCTCAGGTATCCTTGACTTTATTGTGGGAAGAGTTTAATTGAACATAATGGTTCTAAGGCAACTATTTCTCTTTCTTGCCATTATTTTTTTTCCAGAATCATAACAGGTGCACAAAGCAATACCTGATTATCAACAGAATGTTTGCCCTTCAATACGTTTTGCATGAGAAAACTAATCAACTTTTTTTCCTGGCTTGCTACATTTTGTGCGTTATCATGTGTGTGTGTGTGTGTGTGCATGTATGTATACATGTGAATGTAGAACTGGGGTTTGAACTCAGGGACTCATGCTTGTCAGGCAAGTGCTCTACCACTTAAGTCATCCTCCAGCTCTTTTTTTGCATTTAGTTATTTTTCAAATAAGTTGTCCCACTTTTTGCCTGGGCTATCCTGGGACTTCAATCCTTCTACCTATCTCTCCCATGTAGCTGGAATTATAGTTATATACCATCACACCTGGCTTGTTCTTAGTGATAGGGTCTCCCTAAATTTTTTTCCTGGGCTGCCCTTGAACCTTTAATCTCCTATCTCCACTTCCCAAGTAGCAGGAATTATAGATATGAGTCAACATGCCTGGCTCCCTTCTTTGTAGTATTGGGATTTGAACTCAGGGTCTTAGGCTTGCTATGCAAAAGCTTTTTCACTTGATCCACACCCAAGTCCTTTTTTATTTTTTAATTTTTTAAATAAGCTAATAGTGATTTAAGATATTGAGTGATGTGATGTTTTAGAAAGATTATAAAACATCAGTTTCAACGTTAGCGACTGCCTGAGCTACAGTGATACAAATTTTTTACAAGTTAAGCAACATTTATGCCTAGGCAATGAATAGATGAAGATACTTCATGATTAAGGGTGTCAATTGAAAAGGATGTCTTATCATCTCTATACCTCAACTAGAAGGGCCCGTACTCTTAGAATCATGTTTCAGGTCAATTATGAAAACTGTAGAAAGGATTGCACCTCTCAGAAATTAGCTTAGAAAATCTGGTGAACCTAAGTGGCCTGCCATCAAGATGCCAAACATGGAAACAAAGTTAGAAAGAAGCAAGTTGTTCATGAAAACTACACAGAAATTATAAAATGATGAAGTGAAATGCTTTTAGCTGACATGCTTAAATCATTATTTTACAAATTGAGGATAGTTTTCATTACAAATAATTATAAACCAATATTCTAGTGTTGGTGGCTCAATGATTTTTTTTGTGTGTGTGGTTTTCAGATTCCGTGACTATTAGTATAAACTGGTTGACATGAAATACAATCACGAAGGAAGGCATCTTCTGTTTTCAATTGGAGCCATGCTGAAAATCAGTGAAGGACATTTCCTTTTTAGACTTTCAGAGCACTAAAGCTGAAAAAGAAAAGTAGACACCATCCCCCCAAAATACTAATTGAAGACACATTTATGCAAACAGTAAATAAATAAGCAAACCTTTCAAAAAGAGGCCAAAAGAAAAAGAAAACCCAATCTGTGTGTTATCCTTCAAAATTCCCATTTTCTGTGGGTTTGGCAATCAACGGCTTGCTTTTGTGATCAACTATGATCCTGTGCTGGCTCAGATGCAAGTTCATTGTTTCTTTCTCTTCCAGCCTACCCACTCTCATGTTCCTAAGTATCGACATTTTGCAAATAGGATAAGGCTCTGCGGGTGGTATATTTTCTTGTGGAAGCAATTAATAGACACACGGTATCCTACAACTTAAAATCTGTTTTGCTGCAGCCTGGCCAAGTTTCAAGCTGTGAGATCAAAACTTAAATGTCATGTTCTCTACTGTGGCTGCTGGCTCTGATTTCTCTAAGATGTAGTTCCATTGATCTTATAAAAGGATAATTTGAACCCATCAGTAAATCATAGAGAGTCAATGCAGTGTTAATAACATCTAGGGTATTTATAAGATTCTGGGGACCAAGATGAAATCTGACAGTCAGCTAAAGGCAGAAAGTAGGATCAGAAGAAGACTTCAGTTGGCATACCCTGATCAATTGACTAATGAATATTTTGTGGCTTACTAAAGGATACAAATAAAAAGGAATGAGTGAATCAACAGCTGGTAAGAAGGTAAACTGAGGCACTTGTCATCTCAGGAACAGCTGAATCTTCTGAGACCAGGATAGAAAGAACAGCTGCCAAGAAAACTTATAGTCCAAGCAATTTCCAAACAACCTAGGAAGGACTTGCAAAAGTATAGACAAAATTCAGTTTTGCAAACCCCTGTCTCATCAAAAGTATTGTATGATGAAATGTTTTCCAAACATTTTGTGGTTTTCTTCCCCTTCGGAAGTTGCTTCACCCTTGCTTTAAACCGTGTGAGGGGACATTCAGGAGACCAACTTGGAGAGCTGGATACATGTCTATAGGGGTTTGGGAACATTAGAAGTGGTGTGAGACACTGTGACTCTACTTCAGCATTAAGGTGTCAGAGAGTGAGAGTGAGAGCAAGAGAAACAGAGAAAGCTTCAGTGGGAAATACTTGTGTTTCCAGCAACAGCCAAGCAAGGATGCATGAGTATTTCTGTAGACCAAAGGTTAACAACTAAATACAGCAAGCCTAGTGCCAACTTGAAAAATTTCCAAGAAGATGCCTGGAGGGGCAATGGGACCTCCAACAGAGTGGTGGACAGATGGTTACCAAGGGGCCACAGAAGGCATCCAGCTACATGAGTGTATTGCCTCCATCATGAAAGCTGCTGCCAAAAGGTCCCATGGGGAGGGGCTATTTTCAAGTTCACAAAAGCACACTTAAAAAAGGAAGACAGTAGTATGCTACATCCAGAAAGCATATTGCTGAGTTATGCTTGTACCACTCAAGTAAGAGCCTTTTAGTTCTTAACATCTCTTCACTACTCAGATCAGATGCTGAAAGAGGTAGAAAAAGAATAGGAATGGATCATGGTGGCATACACATGTAATGCCAGCTATATGGGAGGTGGGGACAGGACTGTTTTTTGCTATTATCTTATCAGCTAGGCCTACTTAATTACTGGTTAAAAATAAAATCATTATTACCTTTGAAGAAGAAAAAATTATTCAAAGCACATGATCTCCTGTTATGCATCGGCTACACTATTCATTACTATGGCACATAAAATAGATTTGATTTTCCAAGCTAAAGATTTTTGGCCTCCTTCTTTGGATAAGAATTCCGATTGGAAGGAAGGTTTGATGCTGTTAGAGAAGGTAGCCCTCTCCAGGTTCCCATTTGCCTTCGTGGATTCACCAATGATCCAATTTTTTTTTGTGTCTAAACACTAAGTTCTTAACACCTCATTTCATACAGCCAAAGTTGTAATTACTACATACTTTCACTGCGTGGTGATGAATGCATCTTTTAATCCTACCTTGACATTTTTTTTGTGCAAAATAAGGTTGACAACGCCAGTAAAGTTAAAATAAATTGTTTTTTAAATAAAAAGCTATGAAAACCAGAGAGCCAGAATACCTCATGGAAATGACATCCACAGTTGCCCTGCAGAAACTCTTTGTGTCGTCCCATTGTGATAGTGAATGTGTCAACCACTTCGTAGCCATATTTTTTTGCAGCATCCAGAATAATTGAATTTTCTTTCCATAAGTTTTGTACTTCACTCTGTGTTGCAGAACAGAGGAATGAGGGTTTTTGTTAACAGGATTATTTTATGATTTAATAACTCAAGCAGAAATCATATAAATGTTATCTTCTTAAACAGAGATTGGTCATATTCTGAGGTAAAGAATTTCAAGTGCATTTCCTAAATAAAAATATGGTCTGACATTTCCTTACTCAAAATGTCAATGTAAACAAGTATGGATACATCAAACAGCAATACACAAGTATCTATAGAGACTCACAGTCTTGAACTTTCCCTTCCATAAAAGTAACTAAATTTATTGGCCACCATAAATGTTTAAAATTCTTAACTCGAAAACCAGCATTTGAAATATCACAACTGCTAACTCCATCTGCTTGGACTTTGATTTGTTTAGTCACTTGAATATTAATTGTCATCTGTTTGTGCTTAGTTTCTTTTTTGAGGGACAGGAATACAGGATAAATAAGTCACAGTTCCCACTCTTAAGACACCACATTCTAATAGAAAAATTTGCCATGTTCTGCACTGGCAGGAGTAGCTCTATCAGGGATGGGATCAACCATACCATGAGGCTTCAAAAGGAGTTCTGGAACTATCTTGGGTGAGTTTACTAGTTGGCAGAAAGAAGAGTAGCTTTTGGGGGGAGTGGCAGAATTAAGTGAGGACCCCATACCAGTTTTCAAGAAAGAATTGCAATTTTGCCTGGTAGCCTTCAAGTAACATTAAAGGGGCTTCATGGTGGGCTCATCCCTGTAATCCTAGCTACTTAGGAGGCTGAGATTGGGAGGATGGTAGCTCTAGGCTAGACAGGCCAAAGAAGTTCACAAGACCCCATCTCCACAGGAAAAAGCTGGGCATAGTGGTGTGCTCTTGTCATCCCAGCCATAGGGGGAAGCTTAAAATAGGAACTTGCAGTCTAGATCAGCCTAGGCAAAAAAGTGAGGCCCTATCTCCAAAATGGCCAGAGCCAAAAGAGCTGAAGGGATGGTTCAAGTAGCAGAGCCTGGCAAGCAGGAAGTTCTAAGTTCAAACCCCAGTACGCCAAAAAACAAAAAACAAAAAAACCCCAAAAAACAAAACTCTCCAACACACAAGCCATAGCATGGTCTCTTCTCCCCATCCTCAGTAATCTCAAACTCTTCAGCTACCCCAGGTGCCAGTTGTCTCAAGCCATTTAAAAATACTTTAACATCTCCTGACCCTAACATGCTGAATTTGAGGTTTTACTTTGGCCACTTTCTACTAGTTCTGATTTGTATCACAGAAGATCTGCATCCAGGCAAGTAAAGTTTTGAGAAAGGAGAGGGGGGAGGTATGTCTTGTACGGGGAAAGCTAGGAATGCTCATACAGATGCAAAAATAAATCTTACCCTGCAGCACGTTAAATGGACAGTGTATCCCTGACAGGACTCTGCAATTGCACATAACCTTGGGCTGCTGTGGACTCTCTTTGCTTGAGCAAGAACGTCTGGTTTTCTGACCTACAGACATCTTTCTTTTCTGTTCTGAGACTTCAATTCAGTGCTCAGACAATTTTTATAAAATGGGTCAGAGGTCCCTAGCTCCTTTCATTTATGAATATCCAACCCAAGGAAAAAACAATGATAATTCAAAGATTTTTTTTAAAAGCAGTCATCTTCAAAAAGACCACTTTTTCCCAAAGGACTCATTGATATGGGCAATTTCATTTGTGGTTTCAGCATGAATGTGGAGAAAGGAAAGTCTTTAAATGTGTATGAAATGTATACACAAGGTACACTCTCTCTCATATGTACCATGGTTGTTTATTTTGCATAACTTTCTTCTTTCAAGAACTCTGCATTGTACAATACATTTGTGGGCTATGGTGTCCTTGTCTCCAGGACTAATTATAATTGATTTGAAGTCATAATCCTAAAGTACATTATCTCTTTTGATTTTACTTGGATATTACATAGGGTCTTTTGGATCTTTTCCCAGCATTGTTCCACAGAGGAACAATGAAATTCATGTAGTCTCGAGGAAATAGGCTTACCTGTGTTAGGAAGTGTACTCCATTTACTGGCAGATGAAATCCAATTCCCAAAGTTTTGACAATCACTAAGATATTGAGCAAATTTTCCCTGAATGAGATGATCAGAAATCTAAAATCAAAGTCCAATTACATTTCTACATGTTTGTTAAGTGCATAAACAAATACATTACATTTCTTTTGTAATGGGAGAATATCCATATAAGACTAATTTCCCATTTTATGGATTTAATGTGTATTAAGTTATTTTGTGAATGGAGTTTTATGTGCCAGTGGTATATTTTCAGTAGTAGTAGTAGTAGGATTAGTAATAGTGGTAGTAGAAGTGCTATTTTGGTTTTTTGAGACAGGGTCTCTCTATATAGCCCGGTTGACTTAGAACTTGAGCTCCTCCTGCCTCACCCTCCCAAGTGCTGGGATTATAGGTGTATACCACCACACCTGGATAGTAGTCATATTTTGATCTGTAGTAAATTTAAATTTGTATGTCAAAGATCCCCATTGTGATGGAATGTAAGTGTATTTTGAATTATTTTAAATTAGACTTTAAGTTCTTAATTTTAAATTACAAAGTTGTCCTTTAAATAAACTCTGGCTAAAACTTAGTTATACCTATAGTATCTTTCTAAAAAATATAACACTACTGACAATATTGTTGCAAAAAATTACCTCTTCAAAACCTTGTGAATAATTTCCAGGTGATTGGAATTAAGCCACTGAACACCACCAACAACCAGTATAGTCTGACCTGTATTCTCTAGAGGACGTGATCTGAAATCCAGGAAGAAAAACAACACATGTTGCTTTAAAACAGATGGTAAACATTTCAACTGCATTGACTCACATTTCAGTGAACCATGTCTGGCTTCCTGATCACAGGACCCCCTTGTCATTTGCAACTCGTTTTCAGCCACATTAGTGGGTATCTAAGCTTTTCAACACATTTGATATACAGTGAGCAATTATGGCTGCTAGTAAAAAACATCAGTCCATCGTGGCACTTTGCCATTCATAATAGTTCATTGTACCTTTGCAAGAGATGTTCAAGTGCTTTCTCAAATGTTGGTCTCAGTGATGGGCTTATCCAAAACTGGGGATAGTAAGAGTAGCTGATCCAAGTCTTCCCACCATTGACGTTGGGATACAGTTTAGTGCCATGCACCTTCTGCCATTCTTGTAGTGTGTCATTTAGTCTTTCAATAAGGTAGTACATCATCCCTCTGTTGGTTGAGTCACCAATGAAAAGAACCTATAAAATAGAAAACATTTTTTTTCCAAATCTGACGTTTATATGATACAGTCTAAAATAATTTTTTAAATACTCATAAAATTACATGCGTAATGGAAGGACAGCTTTTCAAACCCAGAAATATCATTCATCATATTTTCCTCCAAATTTGTTCATTTTCCTGACTTCTATATTACTGGTAAAGACATCATCTACTGAGCCACTGATGTGTAAGACATTTTGCTTCTTGTTGTTTTAAACTTCTTTATCTCCCTTATGTTCATTCCTTTCCCCTGTAATCGCCTAACAACTTTTATTGATTTAAAGGGGCATGAAATATTTTAGTACTCTAGGAATATTTAGGATTTTTCAATCTCTGTTTTTATTAGTGCATATTAATTGTACAAAATAATGGGTTTCATTATGACATTTTCATACATGCATATGATGCAATTTGATCATATTCACCCCCTCCAATTATCCATCTCATTTCTCTCCCTGCTAACACTGGCCTTTTTCCTCTTCCCAAATAGTCCCTTCTCTACTTTCATGTCTTTAAAAACACCTACCAATATCTATTTCATGGATGTCAAAACTAAGTATCTATAGAGGTAGCTCCATAGAAGGCATTCGTTATTTGAAAAGAGAGTCTGATTTTCTGAACAGGATTTCATGTCCTAGGTTGCATATCCCAGTGCCATTTTCTCTCTGATGAAGTCTCTCACACTCATCCATCACCTCCTTCCCGTTCCTACCAGCACAGCCCTGCTTTAGGCTATCACTGCCTCAAAGCTGCTCTATCATAATATACCCTTAATGGGTCTTCCTTTTTGGACTATAACCTATTGCACTGTAATCGAATCTATTCAGCATAGCATTGCAGGGATACAATTTCAAATGTCTAGTTCTGGTCATCTTACTTGCATGTTCAAAAACTGTCCCCATTTCCTGCACATTTAAGGCTCAGTTATTTAGATTCAGTTAACATTTACTGAATTTTTATTGTGTGGTCAAGCTGAACATAATAACATGCTAAGGCCCTCACAGCTTTCCACAGATTAGGAATTTGAGACTCAGGAAGACTGAGGTCATAAATTTAGTAAATGGCAAACACAGGGATCAAACCAAGGTCCTTTGACTTCAAGTGCAGGGTCAATGGTCTGTCCTCTCAATATGTCCCCTCATGTAAGCATGACAGACTTACTTTTTTATTGAACATGATTTGCACTCAACAACATCTGTTTTTCTTTGTGTTAATCCATCTGCCTGGAGAGCTCTTCACTTTGCAATCTTACCTGTCAACCTCCAGATGCAACACAAATGGCACTTTTACCAAAGGTCTCCTCCAGTGGCCCTGGGCAGTTACCTTCTCTGTCCATTACATTTTTACTTCTTTATAGATTTTATCAAAGTCTGCATTAGTATTAACTATTAGTGTCTGTGTCATTTTTTTCTCATATCTTATCAAAAAGTTTCTGGTCAATTTTTAAGTCTAATTTCCCTCATAGAAACAGGCATGTGCTTTAAAAATACATAGTGAATTTAAACTAAAAGGGACTTTTGCCATAGACAATCCCTTTGAATGCCTTTGAATAAGATTTAATTCACTTTCTGGTTTTATTCTCTTTCTGTGAGATTTCATTTTCCATTAGTCATGCACATGTTTTCTTCTGATTTTAACAGCAGACATTGTCATCATTTCTTAGGCATTTCTGCATTTGTCCATTCATAGGGAAAGAAGTAAGAATCTGCAAAGTTTTACCCTTTTCTCAGTATGTTGAAGTACCTGTGTGAAAAAAAAGTCCAGAAAGCTTCTCCAATTTGCCTTCAGATCCAATACTGTCACTGTAAACATGGGTGAGCGAAACAGAATAACATGTCAAGGCTCCCATTGATGCTCTCAGTCAAGTTCCATTTGGGACAATAAGATTTTAGTACTATAAAATAATTTCTGAAATAAATTGAATTTATTCTTACTAGATTTGACCTGTAACTGTTTTTTCTAGCCTAGCTTTCTGATTTTTAAAGAATTTTGAGTCATTAGGAAAACTAATTTCAGATACTAGAGATTATTCAACTCCATTTGTATTAGTTTGCTAGGATTGCTGTAACAAGGTACTACAGTCAGTGGCTTCAACAACAGAAATTTATTTTTGCACATTTTTGGAGACTAGAAATCCAAGAGGAAGTTTGTTTCCCTCTGAGGGTCTCTTTAGTTTATAGATGATAGTCTTCTCTTTGTCTTTGAATGGTTTTTCCTCTGTGTCCCAACCTCTTCTTATAAAGACTCTGGGTCTTGTATAAGAAGATTTTATAACATTAGATTAGGTGGATGTCACCTTTATGACTTCATTTTATTTAATTCACCTCTTCAAAAGCTCTTTTTCTAAATTCAGACACTTTCTGAGTTACTGAAGGTTAGAACTTCAGCATATGAATTTGGTTGGGGTGATACAATTCAGCCACTACACTAGTTAAGGACCATTGAACATATAGCTTTTAAATTCCATTGCCACCAGTGTTTTTTCTTGTAGTTTGTTTTCATTTCAGTACTGCGGTACAATCCTTCCAGGCAGCTAGAATGGCACTAGATGTCCCCAACACTAGAGATCTGTATTGTGGGCTACAGAAATACAGAAGTTTAGAAAAATCAAAGTCATTATGTATTACTAAAAGAAAAGCAACAAAATCAAAATGTCTAGAATTCCAGTCTTTTTTGTGTGGTCCTGTGGTTGTATCTGAAGATGCAACCTGCCAAAGCACATTGCAGGCAAAGGAACACTGTTTCAGAATTACTGGGTTCTGTTCTTTATTAACTAGATACATTTTAGACAAATTATGTCTTCTCCAAGTGTTCATTTCCTTATGTGTCAAATGGAGGAAAAAACCAGAGGACTTAAATGAGACTTCAAATACTTCTCCTGGAGCACAGCGCACAGTGAATGTGAGCTGGCATTGAAGTACTGGAAAGGCAAGAAGCATTTTTTTAATGCTTCCAGCGGGCTTGTGAGGCACTTGCAATTCAACAGCTCATTTAGAGAAAAGGTTGCAGAAGGTAGGAAATGTCAATGTTACAGACGTCTCTCTCCTGACCTACCAAGTCTGCTACCATTGAGCTCATTAGGACACGAAGGGATGCTACAGAAAATTCTGTAGACGTTCTGGATGGAAGATTATGGGAGGGATCCCTATCCTGAAAAACTCTGAGTAAAACACGCTCTTAGAACAGGTCCCTGGCATCTCTAGGGCGAATTAGAGACCAGCAAGAGGTAAACGGATGCCAGAATAAAGAGCCCCCACCATTATTTGTGAAATAAGTTGTCCTAAATTGCAAATAACTAGATAGCAGTTTTGGATCTAGATGAATCTAGACAGCTGTCAAGACACAGCTCTGGGAGAACCATGTGCTGGAGGATTATTTTATCCCAATGCCTTTCATTTATGAAAGATAGAAAATGATAAAGTATAACTAACATGAAAATGCAGTCATGAGTTTAAGATTTTTCTGTCAGTGAAGCAGTTTTTGTAAGAAGTTAATGGTATTCTTAATGAAAAGATGCCTAACTTCAAAATGTCAGTGCATAAATTAGCACATAATTAGGCAATATAATGAATTAAGGACTGGTTCTTTTTAGTCACATGATCCATATCCAGTCTTTGTAACTTTCAGATAATTTCAATTTGGTGAATTTTTTAGAAGGAAATGGGTAGGTTATTCATTTTAAAGGACAATTTCTATTTTAAAAAGCCTAAGTTATTACAACAAACATTTATGACTATCCATGCAGTTAATCAACAATCTTTACTCTCCCATAAAATCTCTATATTGCATGGCAATGGGCAGGTATTGATTGACAAAAAAACAAAGAGAAAAAAATGTGATGGTAACATAGGAATGCCTACTAAGCATTTATCAAAAGAATCAGCTGTAACAATAAAACATGAACATATCTAGTCTTTCCCTCTACCAAAATCTCAAAGATTTGAAAAGCCCAAAGGACATGATAAGTTGTGGCAAATAAACTCGCTGATGTACTAGTGAGGGCCAGGACAGTAGTGTTTTTTTCTCTCTTTTCTTTTGTTAGACTGTTGAATTTCCCAGTGACTGGAATACTTTTGCCCAGCATAAAAGTAAGTTTTCATTGGATAAGCAGATGAATTGAAACTGCTGGTGTGTTTAAAAATTGGAAGTGTGTGTGTGTTTTTTTAAAGGAATTCCACTTTTATGAAATAATTAAGGGTGTCTTTCAAAATAAGCAAAATGAATTGGAGGCAGCATAAATGTTTCAAAATAAATGGTTGATTACATGCAGGTAATACACTTGAATTCTCTTCACCTTTTAATAATGTTTTCTATGGAATATGAGTATATTATGATGGAGAAGATTTATGTTAACTTTTATTAAAAGATGATTACAATTAGAATATAAGTAAAGATTGCATGGTTGTCAATGTAAAGTATTCTTATGTGTAGGAAAGGTCCTGGAAAATTAAGAGTGATTGTTTTGAAACAATGATGAATGTTTCATTTTCTAAAATGAACATACATTGGCTTTTTACATTAAGAAAAAAAAGCAGGAGCAACAACAATAGTGTATTTTGAGAATTCATATAAAATTTATTATTGATCAGATTAATAAACTTCATTTATATTGATGGAGAATATTTTTTAAAGATTTAGATTAAGTATTTGTCCAATAAGCCCATCACATGAACAATGCCAGTTATATTGTACTTTACTGTAGCAACTTTCCAAATTCCAATTTTTTTATGAAATCTCTCTTTTCTGGTCCTATGATGTGGTAAGGTGAGCTTGCCTCCATTGAGATGGACTCTGGAGATGAACAATAAGATCTGTGCTCTGGATGTGTGATGCGAGGTTGGATCTTAGCTCATCAGCTGCTGGTAAAGATGAGTTTGCAAGAGTTTTATACCTGTTCCATTTGCAGTGTAACTCACTTCAAAGAACAGAGTCTAGTATTTCTCTCACCTTTAAAAAAATCATTATGGACTATAGGATC